TTTGAAATTGTTTAATCTTAACAATATTTCACACACACACACACACACATACACACATATATGTATATATATATATGTATATATATATATATATATATATATGTCTTCTTTATATATTCAATGGGGTACTGCTGCTTTGTGTAACCTACATTTTGTTCTTATATATTATTCAATTTGATGTGATTACTTTCTTTAAATATTTTCTTGTATTTTTTATATTTTATGAATTAATACCATGATTAAACTATTTACTGCATGTTTTATACTGACGTAAAGTCTACATGAAACTAATTGAAATAAAAAAAAAACTACACTACCCAGCAGGTCCGGGAAGAAACAATCGAAATGCATTATGGGTAAACGGGAAGTAAACACGAACACGTTGAACATGGATCATTCAGAGCAGAACCAAACTTCAGACAGAAACAGAGTTAATAAGACGGATATTTTACGAGACTTTCAAGTATCGTTTTTTGCAATGAGTCGTCTGGTTACATTTCCCTGGACTGTGAGTATGACCGGTTACTGGAGGGTTTATTTTTTCTGTTTACATGCATCGTGTGGAGCAAATGTCACGACAACCTCCATTCAAATATGTGTATATTCGTGATTTGCTCAGCTGTAAATATACTCACTGTAAAAATATAAGTGAAATTATTTCACAGATCAGCGGACTCTGCTGCATACACATTAATGAATGATCTCAACCATCAGTTCAGAAGACCCCGGATTGATTTAAAAGTTTTATGGCTTGAATGTGCATGTAAAGAGGTCGAATTCAGTTTTAAATAATCTCGATAAATATTTAAATTTGGAAAATTATAAATGTAAATACCTGCCAAATTCATTACCAGTCTCCATTAATGTTCTGTGAAATAGTAAAGAGAGTAGATTAATGTATGCAAAGGAGCCATGAAGTATTTGTGACTGGCCCATCTGCACCAGGTTTTGTGGCCTGTTGAAAAGGGATTCTGACATAAAAATTATTTTATTCTAAGATTAAAGTTAAAATGCTGATAATAAAGGGTGGGATTCTGAAAGACTATACAAATAGGCCTAGTGAGATTTAATCTGTAATTCTAAGAAAATGGGACATTTTTGAGTTCAAAAACTAATCAGCAAATGCTTCTCATTAAATGCTTTAAACTACTTCAGAATTCTAATTGATCATTTCTGCTTTTCAGTTTTTGGAAAAAGATCTTGAAAGCAACAAATCATCAGACCTGATTTCTGACATCCTAAAACAGGTAAGTCAGCCTGCAAACAAACCTGTCACAATCTTAGAATCGTTAAGCAGTTATCAATAAAATACACAGTAACGCATCTTTTGTGTTTTTCACAGACATGTCTTCACTCTTTGTGCCGGAAATTTCCACCATCAGTCAGATACAGGAAACTGTTCCTCTCTGAGATCATCAGACGGGTTGGTGGACTGTCAGTGTGTCTCTGAACAACTTTCATATACATTTTTGGAAAACATTACTTCCTAATAATTTCACAATAATGGCTTTATAGTTTCCAGGAAATAACACAGTATTTTCTTAATTATAGGAAAAATAAGTTCCGAGACTTATTTCAGTTAGTTTAGTTTAGTTTAGTTTGAAAGCTGTTGTGATTTCCAGAATAACTTCCTTAATAGAACGCAAGTGAATTCATCATTTACTCATTTAGGGCTACACCTTACATTCATGTTCAGGTAATCATCTAATTATGTTCTTAATTAATCACTGGGTTATTTTTTTTATTTTTGTTTAGTTGTCAATATTTTAAAGGTGTCCTGCCTTTAACTGAAGTGTGGGACAATTAGAAACTTTGACCTGCAGATGGCACTGGATGAAAAGTCTGTAAATGACCAGAGTTGGTAGGATTCATCCTCAGAGAACCATGAATGTCTGTACAAAGTTGCATGACCATCAGGGAGCTGCTGAGATATTTCACTCTGGACTGAAGTGTTGGGCGGACATCACACCAGTAACAGCAACAAATTTGGTGACCAAAGTAACAGTTCTCTTGTGTCGTCTCTCCACAGCAGGAGGCTGCAGGCTGTGATCCTCTGGACGAGCTGTACGACGCGCTGGCTGAAGTGGTGGGAGCCGAAGATACGACTGAATGTTACAAAAACTACTTACTGGTACCAGACCTGCTGCAAACACTTATCACTCATTGGATTACAGCCGGGCTTCTCATAGTGCAGATGACTGTCTTATTTGTTGTGGCTCTCTGAAAATAATCACAAAGATGTATTTCCTCAGAGGATGATTTTTAAAGCTATAAAGCTGTTCTGATCTTAAATGAGTGTCAACAGCCCTGGACATCACTTGCTCAGTTCTGGACGGGGATCTAAAATGTCATAGAGACAGTTTGAAAATAAAAAAAAGCAGTTGTACGCTGTCCCTTCTGACATTAACATCTCTGTGTTGGGTTTTGTCCTGCAGCCTAGTGGAGATGCTGTCAGCCTGCTGGAAAATGTAGCTCTGATCTCAGAGGGGACCACTGGCCTGGTGACCTGGGAGGCTGCTCTATACCTGGCAGAGTGGGCTATGGATCACCAGCAGGCCTTCACTGGCAGGTATCCAGACCCTAAAACCACCACGAGAAGGAATTTAGCTACAAAAGAAAAATTCAAATTCAAATTTCTACTTTTCATTACTGCATTCTTTAACTCTTTATAAATCTGTTCCCTTTCCTTCCTTCTCTTCTGGTCTGTAGGACAGTCCTGGAGCTGGGCAGCGGTGTGGGGTTGACGGGCATCACCATCTGTCACTCCTGCGGTCCAAACAGATACATCTTCAGTGACTGTCACCACAAAGTCCTGCAGAAGCTGAGAGACAACGTCCAGCTGAACGGTCTGACTGAGCAGATGTCTCCTACAGTCGCTGTGGAGGAGATGGACTGGAAGACAGTGACAGAGGAACAGATCAAACAGATCGGGGCTGACACCGTCATTGCTGCAGGTCAGAGTTCAGTCTTATCAGTCTGAGCAGTTCTAAATGATCAATGTCAGAGATTAGTTTGAAAAAACTCAGACTGAACCAAAGCTGTTACAGTGCCCTCCAAAAGTATTGGAACAGTGAGGCCAATTCCTTTATTT